TATATATATATTTAACATACATAAATGTTTTCTATATTATATTATTTGATATTTGTTAAGCGACTTCACAATAATTTTTTTAAAACATCTTCAGAAACAATTAATCACTTACCATGTAATGGTGCAGTATAATTCTCAGGGTCTAAAAACTTCTTTGTGGAAAGTGAAGATGCCAGTATAGGATTCATTAGTATTATGTTTAAATAATTCTGTAATAAAAAGACAGATTATCTTTTACTTATTGCACAAATGCAATAAACGTGAGTATGCTGTATCGAGATGAACCTGCAATGCTATTTGTCGCTGAGCTATAAAGTCTGGCTCCATGTTACCAATAATCCTTTTTGGTGGTAGTAGCAGGTCGAAGCCAGATATGGATAAAGCTGTATTGAGTTGTACGAAGTCATTGTAACGTCTGCTTACTCTCCAAGATCTTTCGGGAAGTGGACCTCTTTGTGTTTTGATTACGTATTCCTGGATATACAAATTATAGTTCTTAGCACGTATCTAATAATTCGGTTCAAAGTGGAACTGTACGCAGTACAAATGATCAAAGTTTAAAAGCATAACACTACAGTTTACTGTGCAGCTAAAGAGGCTGTGAATCAAATAATATATATATTCGTATAAGTATATAAAAAAATAACAAAAATGTTACAATGATAAAATACAATTATTATAATCTTAACAGGCTGAATGCTCCTTTCTATTAATATAAATTCTATTAATATAAATTAACTTTAATCTCGGTTTAATTTATTTTGTATTGTCTTCTAATTCTAAGAATTAGAACTTAAAAGTAGAAATTGAATTCTTAGAACTAAAAAATATAAAGTAAGTGAAATTGAAATTAAAGTTAATACAATGAAAATAGATTCAGGGGAAAATTTTAACAATAATTTCATTTAAACGACAAATAAATCGAGATGATTACAGTATAAACTGAGGAGAGAAGGGAGAGAAGGGGGAGAGAGAGAGAGAGAGAGAGAGAGAGAGAGAGAGAGAGAGAGAGAGAGAGAAAGAAACGGACAAAAAGGGGAACGAGGGAGGAAAAGAGATATAGATAAGAGAAAGAGGAAGTGAAATACCGGAGCACATACCGTATGTCCGTCGATGGTCCTAGCATTTTCGATGACGCTCGTCAGCTGCTCCGTATCATCTAACAGCACTTTATTCGTGTATCTCTTCTCGAATAAAGCCATTGATCATTAGTCCGACGTGAGGCAGGGCCCGTACGGGGCCGATTGCGTTTGTCTCTCGCACAGTTTCCGCGCGTCGCCATACATGACGCGCTTCTGCTTCATTTCAGCATCGGGCAAACGCACGACAACGACGGCGGCGGCGACAGTGACGGTGACGACGACGGCGGCACCACTTATCGCGGGATACTTTCAATGTCAACGCTTTGCAACACAACACCACGCAATGTATCAAGCACGTAGGGGAGGACTGTGTCAGATCTCTCTCTCTCTCTCTCTCTCTCTCTCTCTCTCTCTCTCTCTCTCTCTCTCTCTCTCTCTATCTATCTTCCCCCTTTCTTGACTCGTCGCGATAACACCTCAACGGCGCGGCGCAATCCAGAGCTAATCGTGTCGCATCGTCGTGAAGCCGAGTCCCGACGATGCTTCACGAGTCACTCGTCACTAATGTGACGCCATCAGTCTTATGACAGGTGGATTCTTAGGCCAGTATTCCAAGTCCTTGTATTTCAGACTATTTAAAGTACAATCAGGCCATTTTAGAACGGTATTCACAGTCCGTTCTTATTTTAAGATCGTCTTAAGTAACGTCTTGAGACGCTAATGCAATCCTCTGATAAGCTTATGACATCTTAAGATTCTACTTAAGACATTCTCAAATAAAGTCTTAAAATAAAAACAGACTATTATGAATATCACCTTTAGAAAACGATGTCCAACATCCACAATTTCTGTTTTGTTGCGTACTAAAATATACCAAGATAAAAAGCACTTTTTTTGACATTTTAGATTTGTGGATTTTAGTGTATGGATAACTTTTGGAATTTAAAGTGAGATAAGTATATTTTGATATTTGGCGAAAACGAGAAAGAGAATTCTAGTGCAATCTAGTGCAAGAAAAACAGACTTAACCAAAGATTGAATTGAATTATCACCTTTAAGTCAATTGCGCAGCCGTGTCGTCTTTGAGTACAGGACGCACATCTAGAATATCTGTGCGCTGTGACTGTTGATCGAAAAAAAGATTCGAAGCTTCATTCTAATCGATTAAATTTAATGTTGCAACACTATATATTTCTCACGCAAATTGCAACACTATATATTTCTCAAACCATACGTTCAAATCTCTTCCTCCTTTCGGATCCGCAACTCTAAAGTAGCTGTAAGCTGAAAACTTCGCCGCGCGCAACAGCAGGTAGTTGCGATGCGAGGAGGTGCAAGTGCAGTTGCTGGCTGATGCAAGTGCAATGTAGTGCAGCTGAATGAACGTGCGGAAATTGGCGGAAATCAACGGAGATCGTGCGTGTTTCTCTATCTTCTTTCCTGGATGGATCTTAATGGATCTTCGTCCTTATTGGGACGAAGTGTCACGGTTTGCTGATTGTTTGAACTCATTCGTCTGCGCGATAATTTCTGACGTGTAACGCCATTGGTCGACTAAAACTAAGAATCAGTGATAACCTTGGTGGTCGCGTTGACTTCTCACTTCAGAATCGAGGATCGCGACATCGGCGAAGTCAGGACGGGAGTCCGCGACATGTAATCGGACTCGGAGTACACTTGTGTTATTCGTATTCTTCTTGATGCACCTCGCGTGGCTGAACGACTATTCTACGTTAAACCTGTGTGATGATCTCCGTGACGGTGACGGTCAGCGAGTCGCAGTCGAAGCCGAGACTCCAAGGCGTCGATAAGATCTTCCCGATTTATTGACGAAGGAGAGGAGAAAATGACGGAAAGCTTGATAAACGAGTGGCTGGCTGACTGCAAGGATGTCACGCCGTCGGAGCTGCACATGTTCGCTAGAACCCTCTCGGAGGATAATGAGATTGTGCGAGCGCTTTATGTGCTCCTGGAGGAGCGCACCAAGTACAGCGAGGTATAATACAAATTCCTGGAGAATATTCTCCGTTTACACAGGGAATTTTAACCGGAATATTGCCTGCTAATTTCCTAACGATTATATTTAATATCGAGCTTTCTATCACTACATTGACAGTTTTAGATGAATCATATCGTGTACTTATTTAGAAAAAAATAGTTATATAATCATTGACAGATTGAAAGAGAAAGATGCACATTTAAATCTTTAAAGATTTGTTATAAATTATAAGTTATAATTAATTAAATGTATTACCTAGAAACTTCGTTTGATGATATCATACTTCCTATGGCTACAGTAACGGTTTTACGTGACTCATACATTGTGTACTTATTTAGAAAAAATAATAGCCATAATCATTCATATAATGAGAGAAAAAGATATGCATATATAAATAATTAAAGATTACTATAATTAGTTAATTAGCATTGTTTGTATCTCTTGGAAACAATTACCTTTGATATCAAACTTTCTATCATTATTTCAATACTCTTAGATGAATCACATTGTGTATTTATTTAGAAAAAAGCTATAAAATTGATACAATGAAAAAGGAAGACACGAGTTATTAAAGATCTGTTATAATCTATCAATTAATTAGCATTACTTGTAGATAATGTTAGAATATGTCAGCAATTTCGAACATTTGTTAAAAGCACACATTTGATTATACAAAATAAAATCGGAAATTTTTTTTTTAATCCTAGATTATTGTTACAGTTAATGGACGAAGTGTGTAACCAGTTGTACAACTTTTACCGATCTCGAGAAATAGAGTTACAAAGGTTCACCCTACAATTTCTACCAACGCTAATATATATTTATTTAAATTCTGCCGCACATGGTGATATTAAGGTAACTTGTACTTTTATTTAAAATAAGAATATAATGTTGTCTTAAAAGTTGGCAAAACAAAGAAAGTAAAATTAATTCTAATTAATATTTTTATTTGTTGCTTATTGCTAAAAAATTGCCGAAAAAAAAATTTGTTCTGTAAATTTTCTTAAAATATGATGTTTCGCTAAAGGAAGATTAATGCTCATTTCTACCAACGTAGATTAACTTTAATTTCGGTTCAACTTACTAAAGAATAGAAAAAGATTAGAAAAAGGCAAAGAATAAGTCAGCAGAACATAAAAAAAATATATATATATATACTTGTTATATGTATATTGTTATATGTGTATTGTTTCGCTAATTCTCCTTTAGAACATCATTTTTTAAGAAAACTTACAGAGCAATAAATTTTTGTCTTTGGCAACTTTTAGCATACAAATAAATAACAAATAAAAGAATTAATTAGAATTGCTTCTGCTCACTTCATTCTATAAACTTATAAGACATAATATAATATACAGAATAATGTCTCAATGCCGGCTTATTGTGTTATCATGTTTTACATTATCATGGTATATAATTGATATTTAAGCAGATTTATGTAATCCAAAGAACATGTAATTCATATGACAAATAAATTAATATTTTGTATTACATTGTTATAATAAATTACATTGTTATTGTCATAGAATTATTAAATATAAGAAAAAATTATTAAAATCTATAACTTCATAATTCTGATTAAATGATAATAGAAAATATTAATTTATTTGTCATATAAATTACATGATAGATAAACTAATATTTTGTATTATACTGTATTGTACTATACATAGAATTATAAAGTCATTGTATAAATTTTGATAATCTTTTCTTATATTTCTTATATTATAATTTTAAAATAATTATTATAGCAAGTAACACTACATTTATTAATAATATCTAATTTCCAGAGTTGTCGCTCCCTTGAAACTCTATTAATTGGATTATATAATCTAGAAGTGGTCGATAAATCAGGACAACAAAAAGCAATTTCATTTAGATTACCATCCCTTGCTATGCTATCTATATATCATGAGGTATGTTGGCATATATATTTTTATTTGATATATATATATATATTTAAAAATGATAATAATATAAAATAATGTTATCATTTTTAAATATATACAAGAGAGTAATCATTGAAGATATATTTTATGTGAATAGATACTCAATAAAACTTTGATTCAGATTACATTTCTAGAAGCTTACGATTAAGCTAAACTACGAGTTTCAGATTACACTTCTAGCGTTAGCACTTTGGTTAGATGTTATCGGACATTCAATATATTAAGTATATCATTTAAAGTGAATTAATAAAGTTTAATTGACATCGAGTTCAAAATTGCATCTCAGCAAAATATCATTTTACCGAATGTTAGCTTATTAAAAAGAAATATGGAGCATTGAATGGAGTTGAGCAAGATCTAATGTTTGTGATTTAATTAATATTTAATACACATATATTTAATTTATATTAATGATATTGTTAAAGAAAATTCTACAAAGAAAAAAAGTATTAATTGCCAAATTATTTTACATTTATTATAGATTTCATAGTTATTTAATATAATGTATTTTTTTAAATAGCCTGCGAGTCTAGCACCAGCCTCACTAACAGAAAGCGCCGTACGTCGTTTTGAAGAATGTAACTCGAAACTTGTGAGCTGGGGTCCATTGCAACAAGTAGAAACATTAAATGCACAAAATAGATTGAAAGTTATGACAGCCTTACTTTTTATTTATAATCAACAACTTGGATATATAAATAAATTTGCTCTAGAACAATTGTGCAAGGTTGCAACAAAGTAAGTTCGACTGTCATTCTTAGCTGTATGAAAGCTGTTTTATTTTCGATTGCAATGTATTTTTTTTCTATTACAGACTTGTTACTCAAGGATTTATGAAACCAGGACATCATCAACGTTCCTCATATGGCAGTGAGTCTAGCTTTGTTCCAAGGCTTTTACCACGTATACCAGTATCCAGCCAATTCCTCTTGGAATTCTTGCATGCTGTATATTTTGCCATGTATGTAATGTATGCATTTTGCGAATTTAACAGCGTTTTAGTCTGTGACCAAAAATATTTATTATTACATATTTTAATTACTAAATACATCGATTTTGGTGAGCATTACGGTGAACTAATTTGCTAGCATTGCATCTTATATAAATATATGTGTATTTTTTTTCTTTATAATACAATAATATTCTTATTTGTAGGTATAACGAATGTTGGTATGTAGGAACTCAAGCTATAGAAGATATTCATAACAGAGCATGTTATGAAGCATATCCAAATGTAATGTTAGTTACCAACGCTATACGCAATTCTGCCAGTTCTGGAGCACCAGGTAATTGTCATTATAAAAACAAGCATATAATACATGTATTATTTATTTAAGCTAAATATGAAAGTAAGATGTTGCATAAAGATATTTTATAATCCTTTTTATCCTTTGGTCATTTAGGTCAACCGAGCGATGGACCAATTGGAATTAGTGTTGCATTGTCCCCAGCAACTACTACACCAACCATTTCAAAGTCTATGATCACAAATGCTTCCTTTCGTACTAAGAAATTACCAGGTATGTGTTTATATTGTGTTTATATATATTATAAATTATTAATCTTTTTACGACGACATATAATAAAAAGTAAATGTAGAGTCAGAAATAATAACGAAGATTATAAATTGTAATCATTTTAAGAAAATATATGAATACTGTGATTTTTTAAATTATCTATATTTATTTCACAAAGATAATATATTTATGTTCACTTCATATTTTTATTTGGCATTAATAATAAAAAATTTATGTCTTATATATGGGATTATATTCGAAATCAAACATAATTACGAGATTTGTTCCAAAAGTATCCAATCTCTGCATATATCCTTGGACATCTTTTTGTGGAAAACATTTAGTATTTAGGGAGAAATATTCTTACTAAGTGGCACGATCCAACAGCTATTCAGTCGGCAATGATACGCAGTTGTGTGAGCGTCGTAAACTCCAAACATCGAATTTCACTTGCTCATTCATCTCATTTTATTCAAGATTTTTTCAATTTTATCAAATAACTAGAAATTACACGGAATTATATCTAGACTACGATAGTTGGCGAAGTTAGACAATGTTTGTAAAAAGAAACGTGTTTAGTAAAAAAAATCTTAAATCAGGTGAGATGAATGAACAGGTGAAATACAACGCTCGGAATTTTCAACGCTCATACAATTGCGTTTGCCGACTGAAGCCACTTGATGGGGATATTCGTCAAGATATCCCCTAAATATTGAATGCCTGTTTTCCACGAGAGAGAGAGAGAGAGAGAGAGAGAGAGAGAGAGAGAGAGAGAGAGAGAGAGGGAGAGAGAATGCCTAAAGATAAAGAGATATATACAAAGACCAAATACTTTTGGAACAGATCTTGTATTGCGTTTTACACAAGTTTGTACATTGATGAATATTTCTAGTGAATAAAGGTGCCAAACTACTAACAATATTAACATCACAGCTATGTTTTCCATTCAAATAGCTAACACATATAAATAAAATTATAATTGTGTTTGAATATTAGTTACCCCTTTTACACAAATCCTGATATATACAACAAACATAAATAATACACAAGCGGATGCATGGACATGAATGTCGAGTACGAGTACTTTAGGTCCAAGCTTGCATGATCCTCTAAGTTTTATGAAATTATTGCTGAATTGAAAACCTTTTGTTTCATGAATGAATAGTTGTCCAAACAATATTGATACGGTAACTGCACACATTTTCGGAAAAATCACGTACAATGTACTATTCATGTTTTCCCCTCATCTGTATTATTTGATTTCCTTAATAACTCGTAAATCATAAAAAATACGTATATAATGTATTATTATAAATAATAATATGTGAAAATGTTGAACCAAGTTCGCACATTATATATAAAATTATATATAAAATTTTAAAATATGTATAAGTTAGAGAGTAATATAAAAAGTCCAAACAAATGTGGATTGCGCGTCTATGTCATTAGACGATCTGGATGAGAAGTTATTTGCGGTCGAATTGAGCAATTGTCAAGCCGAGAAACAACAGCGACCGGCAGTATCGGGCAGCCACAAACGTCGTCCATGGCATTGGAAGCATGCACTTCCAAATTCGGTCGATAAAAAGGATACAGGCGCAGGGAAGGCGCAGTCTTCCTCCTCATTGGAAAGTTCTAGACGTGGAAGTATATGCAGCAGCAGCCAAAGCTCACCGATAAAGTCCTCTCCTAAAAAGAGCAAAGATCAGCAATCAAAGAAAACATCTATTGACAATAAGGACGATATTAGTCAGAAAACTAGAAAAGACAGTAACGTAATATGCGATTCCACTTTTTCCGACGATAGATTGGCAGCTAATGCTCATCTATATAGCTTATTAGAAGAACAGGCTCTGGGAGAGATCATTCGTGAATCGGTGGAAAATGTATATATAGAAGGCAACAGTAGATCAATGTATTATTGTGCCACTGCCACACTGTCGTCAAACACATGGTATTATCACTCCAGTTACAACACTGTAGGATGGCGTAAAATCTCATCACGCTATAATTCTTCATCAAACTTACAATTATATTTTAATTTGACAATTATACACTAGCGCACATGCAGGAATGAGTTGTTGATTTATAATAATTCACGTGATCGTGGATGTATTCCTTTCAGAAATACCACTCCCAGCTATAATGAGACATACGCATAAAACAAAATCTAAACAGAAACCAGCGCATGACTGGAAAACATGCATGTCGACATGGCACATTTATCTTCCCGCACCAAAAATTTCAAGTATATTGCTCGACTAGAAAATGTATTCGATGTTCCTTTCCTACTATTTTATCTGTTTCTCTGTTATCATTTGAGTATTACTTCTGCAATTTATTCCTTTCTTTTTTTATTCTGATTTTCTGCATTGCATATATTCTCTATATCTAATGTTACATAATATTTTCTACACAACCTACATATTCCTTAAATGTTTTAAATCCACTTATTTACAATATGTCTATAGTTGTATTATTAACTTACAAATAATAGAAAAAAAAATGAATGTGATATTGGTTTATACATTTTATAAAATATCTCTTGTTATCTTTCTTTATTAAAGAAAAAATTTTTCATTCTATGCATATGCACAGTGCAATTAATATGCTATTTAAATGTTCTATTTTAATTTCTATTCTAGGCGAACATAAACAAATTATATCTATAGTATACATATTTTACGTGTGTAATTTAAATGAATCATTATGTATATGTGTTTACTTGCCTCTAAGATGCTTATTAACTTTAATATTGCTTTTATTATTGTCAATTCCAACTCGACGATAAAAGTTTCTTTTCTTATAATACAGAAACCATTTTTTTTGTCTTCAGATGACATACCAATACAAGTTATAAAAGATGACACTACCGGAGAGGGTAAAGGTAACCTGGTGTCAATCATGGAGGAATCAGAATCAACTGAGCCGAATCGTATTGGTTCCATGAGACAATCAAAGGATCAAAAGACTGCTTCGAAGATTACGAATTTCCCTGTGCTAGGAAAAAAACCTAAAGAGAAAGAAGGAAAGGTAACAAAAAATGCTCATATCGCATCCGAAAAGGAGAAGAAGCTCAGTTCTCAGGCGACATCGAAGGAGAGTATTAAAGGGAGTTTATCAATGTTAAATAGTGAACAGCAAGCAGAAATTGACGCAAATGTCAATGGATGTGCGATTCGAAAAAAAAATAATATAGAAAATAATGCGATCATAATAGATCCAAATGTAGCGTTGATTGACGGCGAGAGACTGGCGTTAAGTAGAGAGACTGATATTACCGATGGTAATAATATGGAAAATTCTATTAATTTAAGAACACACAATGAAACAGAATCTATTGGTTCTTCTATTCAAATCAGCTCTGTTTAATGACGATAAAAAGTCTATAAAAAATGTTACATAAAAATAATAGTAATGAGTTGAAGTTATTAAGCAAATAAGCCATTTTCTTCCATCTAACAAAATCTTATTAAATCCATGTATAATGTATACACGTTGCCTTTTCCTAGAATTATTTAAGATCACAAGCACTATTTTCTCAACAATGTATATTGCCACTACATTGTGCGATACTTATAAGGGTCGTATTTTTTTGACATGTAACAATTTTAGTCAGTTCATTATTCTATTGATGTTCCATGATAAACATAAAAATAGGAGAGGGAACAATATGAACTAAAGATACATGGTTGTTTCGTTAAGTGTTTTATGCATATTGATATATATTGACTAATTTTTGTAACAAAATCTATAATTTATTTCATATATTTTATAAATATATGTCGTCATACATTTTAATACCTTTTTAT